TTTTTTTTCTTCACTTGGGGCTGGATTTGTTGCATACTTCTGGTGTCCTTAGCCTATACTTATTTCTGGTGAGATTCTCAATTAAATATTTTAGGCAAAATATCTGGCTTTGCTTTAAGTCCAAATCCCAACTTAGTCTGTTTGTTTCCTTTTCAAATGGTGCTCAAAATTTTAAATGAATTGGTGAGATACAGAAGTAATCTTTTATTAGAACTGATTGAGTAGTATTAAGCTGTTGAAAATATAAGGAATTCTAGGCTGGGCGCAGTGCTCACGCCTGTAATCCTAGCACGTGGAGGCTGAGTCAGGCGGATTGCTCGAGGTCAGGAGTTCGAAACCAGCCTGAGCAAGAGCGAGACCATGTCTCTACTATAAATAGAAAGAAATTAATTGGCCACCTAATATATATAGAAAAAATTAGCTGGCATGGTGCATGCCTGTAGTCCCAGCTACTCGGGAGGCTGAGGTAGAAGGATCACTCCAGCCAGGAGTTTGAGGTTCGTGAGCCAGGCTGACGCCACGGCACTCACTCTAGCCTGGGCAACAAAGTGAGACTCTGTCTTGAAAAAAAAAAAAAAAAAGAAAGAAAATATAAGGAATTCTCATCTTCTGTATTTCTTGGTCTAGTAAGAGAGAAATGCTAGAAACCAACAATACTGTGGTTTCCAACAGTATTGTTGGTTTCTAGCATTTGTGATCTTCACAGTAAACATATTCCCATTACTTTGTCACACCTTTGTTTTGGCCCAAAGTGGCATAACTTGTTCTGATTACTTTCCACTTCATTTACTAAAGCTATCTCCAGGTTACTTTGGAATATTTAATAAAAATCAAATCCAGTTGTGAAGGATTCACATCTGCCACTTTAAAGATTATGTTGGGGGAAGAGGGGAGGGGTGTGCACTTTCAGACCCCTGCTCTCTCTGCTTCACCACACACACACACACAAATTAAAAATAAAAAAATAAAGATATCAAGTATGCATTTGGCTGTAAGTAAACTGATGGTTGTTAGGGGAGGTTATTTATCTAATATAGGATGATTGGAAGTAAGTGGCTACTGCCTTTGCTCAGTGGCATGAAAATGTCAAGGTAGTATCTAAGTTCCTTGGCCTTTCTCTTGACATTCAAGATGACTGCCCTAGCTCCAGGCCTTACATCATTATTCAAGGCAGAAAGGTGTGTGTGTGTCATCAGTGATGTGTCCATTTTTATCAAGTAAGCAAAGTCTTTCCAAGAGGCTCCTGAAAATTGTTAAGTCTCATTTGGATAGAATTCTGTGTGATACTGCTACCACTAGCCATAGGGGAGGCTGGAAAAGTGAAGATGTTTATCATTTGTAGCCATTTATAGAAAAAGCACATCAGGGGAAAGGGTTAGAAATAGATTTGGGATTAGTTATTCAACAGTGTTTGCTACAGGGTATTCATTCATGAAACTGTTAACACACTCTGAAGGCACTTAAAGTATCATTAACATTGTTTGAATAAGTAAATAACTTTCCAAAATAGATTTCTTGGAAAGAAATATCACTTATTTGGAAGTATAAATTCTGGATTATTTGAAATTTCAAGTCAAATTACTTTATCACTGCTCCCCATCCTCACTGTGATTTCTGAGAAGTTGAACTGAACAGACTCAGTGTTGAAGAGAAAGTGCATTCTAGACAAGTGATAGTAGTAGTAGGAGCTGTATCATTTTTCTGAGTTTTATTGGTGGTTTCCTTAATGCCGATTAGATACTTTTACCGGGATAGCCTATAAGCATCTTTTTTAATGCTAAAATTACTTCACTGAGATATAATTTACATGGAGTGAAAAGTCTGGGTATTAAATGCATAGACTGCAAATTCTGATAAATGTATACACCTGTGTGACCACCTGTGTGATAGATACACTGTGTGTATCCATCGCCCCAGTAAGTTCCCTTTTGTCCCTTTCCAGGTAAGCCCCACCCACTCCAGGCAACCACTATTCTGATACTTAACCGATTAGTGTGTCTTCTTCAACTTACTATAAATGGGATCAATAACATATAATGTACTCTTTTGTGTTTGACTGCTTTTGCTCAACAGTGTTTTTGAGAGTTATCCATTATGTGTGCTCAGTTCTTTCTTAGTTTCTTCCCTTTTTTGGTGAGTGGGACAAGTATAGTATTGCATTGTATGAATATATCACAGTTTATCCATTTTCTGTTGATGGATATTTAAGTTCTGTTTTAGCTAGAAAAATAAAGCTAGAGTGGTAATTCTAGGCTTGCATGGCTGAGGTGGGAGGATCACTTTGGGGCTAGGACTTTAAGACTAGCCTAGGCAAGAGACCATCTCTTAAAAAATAAAAACAATTAGTCAAGCATGGTGGCATGCATCTGTTATCCTAGCTACTCTGAAGGCTGACGCAGGAGGATGGCTTGAGCCCAGAAGTTCAAGGCTGCAGTGAGCTATGATCACACTGCTGTACTCCAGCCTGGGCAGCAGAGCCAGACTTTATCTCTTAAAAAAAAAAAAAAAAAAAAAGCTGCTATGACCACATGACTGCAAGTATTTTAAACAGCACCCCAAATGGAAGTGTACATCCTTCATCTTCTAATTTCCCATTTTGAGGCCTCTGGTTTTCCTTATTTTAGTGAATAGTTCCACCTTCCTTTCAGTTATTCAAAATAAAACTAACAATCATTTTTGACCCCTTCTTTATTCTAACATAATATTTACCTTCTTTTTATTATGGACTAGGCTTGATGGTAGAGATACAGTGAATATAAAACTGTAATTTAGTGGGGCCCTGGGTAGTAATTGAGATAAGTATTAGAACAGAGCTTTAGAACCCTAGGATTGCAAATGAGAGACCTATCCAGCCCAAGAGAGCTAGGAAGATTCCTGGAGGAGGAGATATATAAATTGAATTCTGAAGAGCACAAAAAGTTCACAAAGGGAAATAAATACCATAGTAAGAGTAGCATTGTCATAGAAAGCAGGGCAGATCCCGGGAACTACAAGGAAGTCAGTCTAACAGATATAGAGAGGATTTGGGTTGTGGGGGAGAGGAAGTAGGAGGAAGTGGCAATAGAGAAGAGGGGAACAGATTTAAGGAAATGTGCTGAGTTTGATGTGGTGATGAACAATTGTAAGATTTAAAGCAGAGGAATATTACATTTATGCTTAATACATACAAAGTGAAGGATGAATTTGGAGTGGGGCAATATTGGAAGCAAGGAGGTCTGCTAGGAAATGGTAGAGTATTCCAAGCCAGAAGGGATGAGCTAAGGAGTTTGTTGGAATTAGAGATTTTTGGCCCTCATGAGAGGACATTTGAAGAACTATTGAAAGTCTGAGGAAAAGTGATGTGAGGAAAGAAGAACATACAACATGTTAAAGTGTTTGAAGTTAACTGCGATCCAGGCATGAGGTAAGGGACTAGACGAGGAATGAAAAAAATGTTTTTATTTGACAGAGTTGGTTTTTAATTGGATGATAAGAACAAAGGAAAGAGAGAACTCCAAAGTGACTTATAGAATTTTTTATTTTTCATTGGCTTTCTAATCTGATTAGAATTTTTATTTTATTTTTTTTTAAGAGACAGAATCTTGCTTTGTTTCCCAGACTAGAATGTAGTGGTGCAAGCATAACTCACTGTAACCTTGAACTCCTGACCTCAAGCGATCCTCCCACCTTAGCCTCCCAAAGTGCTGGGATTATAGACATGAGCCACCATGCCTGGCCTCTATTTTTAACCTCAGTAACTGAGAACTATGGTCCCACTAAAAGAATAAGGAAGTCAAAAATGGAGGTGTTTCTACAGGAGAATGAGTTAGTTTCATTTTGAATATATTGGTTTTAAAGTAATGGGGGGCATATCCAAGTATTAGTATTCAATATATAGTTGGAAATACAGGACTAGAAAATTGAAGTTAGGACTAAAGAAATATATTTGAATCATTTACTTGCTTAGAAGTCATTCAAGCCACAGAAATGAATTTTTTCTTTTAGTCAGTCAGGTGCGAGCATCTTGTGTCAGAGGCTGGGTTACAAAGATGAAAGACCTGTCCTATCTATGTTTTTGAGGAACTTTGGATCTAGTAGAAGGATAATATGTTCAGGGTACAGTGATAACAAACAGGAAGGGATCTCTACTTTATTGACCTGGAGAAGTTACAGTTTTATAAAAGAAGAAAATGATTTCAAGAATTTATGGGTTGAGTTTGAATGGAGGACTTAGGACTTGAAGATGAATTTGAAGAGTAGGGAGTTCAGTGTTAACAGCAGCTAAAACTGGGAGACATGATTAGTAGTGTCAGATGTTTTAAGGAGGTCAGGCTATAGAGACTCAAAACCCTTTATAAATATATTTGGTGGATGTCCCCAAAACAGTGAAATAAATAAGGGGAGAAGTGAGAGGAATCCATCAATCACTACTTATAAAAGGAAATAATTATTTGAATTTGGAATGGCTTTGAGGACAATACATTTTTAAAAAAAATTTCAATAGATTTACGGGGTACAAGTGTCTTTTGTTACATGGATGAATTGTATAATGCTGAAGTCAGGGCTTTTAGAGTACTGGTCACCAAAATAGTGTACATTTTACTGGATAGGTAATTTTTTTATCCCTCACCCTCCCCTCCCATCTTAGTTTCTAATGAAGGATAATACATTTAAAGTTTGTCCTGTAAAGTGACCAAATTTATAAGATAAAGCGATTCTGTGCTGAATGAAATTGGCAAAAGTTCTGCAGCTTTTTATAGGCCTGCAGATTCTTTCTATGTGGAGGATGGATGGATACAAATTATTTTGTTGATTGATACAAAGTAATAGCCCAAACGGATACCTTCCGAAGAAGTTGCTGTAGTTTTTGTGTCTTGTGACTTTGAATTCTACCTAGGAGTAGGGGTCTTGGCTCTTTTTGGACTGTAGAGAATAAACTGAAATGGTGATGATGCAATGGAGACTCATATTGATGTTTGCAAGATGTCATTGTGTTTCTAATCTGCTATTTTCCCCCATAGGTTTAACTTCTTTATTCAGCAAAAATGTGGATTCAGAAAAGCACCCCGGAAGGTTGAACCTCGAAGATCAGACACAGGGACAAGTGGGACAGCATACAAAAGAAGTGTTTTGATTCCTCCTGTGGAAGAAACAGCCTTTTATCCTTCTCCCCATCCTCTAAGGACTCTTGTAAAACCTTTATTTTTTACTGTTGGGGTAAGAGCTCACATCGCTAGGCGTTACCTATCTCGATGCAAGGGCAGTATTAAAGTTCTGTTTGTCTTGTTTGGGTTCCCTTAAAGTAAGGACAGGTGGAGGGGATCAAAAGAATCTGGGTAGCTGGGCTCATGAAATCTGACTACAGAATATGAATTTAGTAATTGCTTTAGAAACTGGCTCAGTTATGTAAGCCCTGGAGAAGAAACTTATGACCCTCATATTTCGTACAGCATTTTAGTGGATAGTAAGTTGGCATTTTGAATTTTATTTGAAGATTTGTTAATGGAAACAGGCTCCAGGGTACTGTGAAGTTAATAAAATGGGAAATAATAAAATGTCCTTTTAACCTATTAGGTTTCACTGTGCCAGGTGTTCCTTCTGTTGGTTTGTAAAAAGCAATGAAAATGAAGTAGTGTCCTTGATATGTACAGATCTATTTCCCTTTTAAATTTATTTTGTAATATATCTATTTTTATATAGTTTACAGGCTGTGCATTTGGATCAGCTGCTATTTGGCAATATGAATCACTGAAATCCAGGGTCCAGAGTTATTTTGATGGTATAAAAGCTGATTGGTTGGATAGCATAAGACCACAGAAAGAAGGAGACTTCAGAAAGGAGGTAAAAATAAACATTGCTTTCTTCTAGTTAATCACAAATTTTTTATTGATACATAATATGTGTACATATTTTCAGAATACAAGTGATATTTTGATACATTCATATAATGTATAATAATTAAATCAGGGTAATTATAATATCCATCGCCTTAAACATTTATCTTTATGCTGGGAACATTCAAATTATTCGGTACCTGCTATTTTGAAATAGATAGTAAACTGTTGTTTACTATAGTTACTCCAGTGATAATCCCAGTCTTTGAAGTCTGGCTGTTTATGAAATGTTTTTGTTAATGGCAACATTAGATTAATCGATGTCAAGTCGGTTCACTTAATATTCTTCTAGAGTCCTTTTATCACAGTATTTATCAATGTTTTATATGTCTGGCAGTGTTGTACTTGACAGTATTGTGCTTGACAGTGTTATAAGAATTTTGTCCCTCTACCCACGTGCATCAAAAATCACCACAGATAGTCATAAAAAATTAATGTTTTGAGGGCCCATCTTAACTCCACTGAAGTTTAAGGGCCACTGTTATATTACTTTACTGGATTACTTTAGAGTACATATCAGAATCACAGGGAGTTTTTCAAAATATACATGTCTTAGGGATAGAGCTACCAAGTAGATTTTAAAAAGTTTCTCAATGTTATGCTGTTTACATACCTCTGGTACATACCTTCTACGTGTTTCTAACTGTGCTCAGGAGATGGGATGCAAGAAAAAGGCAGAAATACAGAGCTTTCAGAGCTTGTCATTTACTTTATATGCAAGTTGATGGTCCTCCTTCCTCTTAAATGATTTTTAAAAAATGTTTCCTTTTAGATAAAACATAAATATTTTATTTAAGTTGCCAATACTTTTGAGCACTGAGGCTTTAGGTTAATATGTGGTTTCAGATCCATTTTGTTTCAGGCACCTTTGTTTCCTATGATACACTGCCCTGTGGTTGGGACAGTGGGTTGATGTCCTCCTTATTTTTCCCCTTCCTGGGAACAGTGTGATCCTGGCCAACAAGAGGCTGAGAAGAAGGAAGCCTTGGGTTTTCTTTTTATTAGTGGTAGTTTGTGGTTCCTCTAATAAGGGAAAAGGATTCATTCCTCCTTGTTTCCCCATAGACACATTCAAGAAGCACGAGCCCTATCTGTTAAAAGAGGCTTTATGCCAGAGTAGTGATGGATATTTGCAGGTGAAAGTGACAGTAACTAGCAGATTTTTATTAAGTACAGTCTATTTGAGAAGATAGTAAAACTGATCTAATTCCTAAGGAATTATCCTGGATCCCTTAGAAAGCTACAGGTTTCTAGCACATCTTTGCACTATGAAATTTTGATATCTAAATGTACCCAAATGGTTCTTGAGAATGGTGCAAACTGAAAAACTATATATGTACTCTTCATCCAAAGATGGATTGTTTATAATAAAATTAAATAAGTCATAGGTTATAATATATACAATCCATGCCCATTAAAGAAGATTGAAAATATATAAATATAACATGGAAAATGAAAGTCCTAGGAACCCCTTTCATACCATTATATATGCAGTTAATAAAGTCTGGGAACTTACAAGTTAATTTTAATTAAAGTAATGGAATCGTATATATACTGATCTGTAATTTCTTTTATCCTGGATTTATTTTCATAACAAAGTCTTTTCAATTTCATAGTTAGAATACATTTTTTATTTTTTATTTTATTTTTTTTTATTTTTTATTTTTTTGAGACAGAGTCTCACTTTTGTTGCCCAGGCTAGAGTGAGTGCCATGGCGTCAGCCTAGCTCACAGCAACCTCAAACTCCTGGGCTCAAGCGATCCTCCTGCCTCAGCCTCCTTAGTAGCTGGGACTACAGGCATGTGCTACCATGCCCAGCTAAGTTTTTCTATATGTTTTTAGTTTGCCAACTAATTTCTTTCTATTTTTAGTAGAGATGGGGTCTCACTCTTGCTCAGGCTGGTTTCGAACTCCTGACCTCAAGCAATCCGCCTGTCTCAGCCTCCCAGAGCACTAGGATTACAGGCGTGAGCCACAGTGCCCAGCGCACTCCTACCTAATTTTTAAAAATTTCTGTAGAGATCGGGGCTCACGTTGTTGCCTAGGCTGGTCTGAAACTTCTGGCCCCAAGTGATCCTTCTGCTTCAGCCTCCCTAAGCACCGGGATGCCACCATGCCCAGCCTCCACCATTATTTTCACTAGCAAAATTGATGCCTCATGTCTTTTTACTAAATTCAGTTCTGAATTTAGTATTATGGCAATGTAGCTGATTAGCAAACCCTGATCTCGTCTGGAATCCTAACTACAGGGAGGCCTGGGAAGTTTCTGGCTTCTAATTCCTGCAGCTTATGAATGCACCCTAGGTAACAGGTTCAGTGAACCAAGACAGTATCTATTTCTATCTATCAAGTTCTCTATGTCCCAATAGAGGCATACCTCTACGATGTTGTGAATTTGGTTCCAGACGATAAAGTGAGTCACACAAATTTTTTGGCTTCCCGGTGCCAAACTTTGCATATAAAAGTTATGTTTATACCATACTGTAGTCTGTTAAGTGTGCAGTAGCATTATATCTTAAAAAACCCCACACATACCTTAATTTAAAAATACTTCATTGCTAAAAAATGGTAATAATCATCTGAGCCTTAAGTGACTCATAATCTTTTTGTTGGTATAGGATCTTGCCTCGATGATGGCTGCTAATTCATTAGGTAGTGATTGCTGAAGGTTGGGGTGGCTGTGGCATTTTTTAAAATACATTTTTCTAAATTTAAAAAAATTTTTTTACAGAGTCTTGCTCTGTCACCCAGGCTGGAGTGCAGTGGCATGATCATAGCTCACTGCAACCTTCAACTCTTGGGCTCAAGTGATCCTTCTGCCTCAGCCTCTTGAGTAGCTGAGACTATAGATAGATATGTATCATCATGCCAAGCTAATTTTTTTTTTCTTCACCTTGGGGCTGGATTTTGTTGCATACTCTTGGTGTCCTTAGCCCTATACTTATTTCTGGTGAGATTCTCAAGGTAAATATTTTAGGCAAAATATCTGGCTTTGCTTTAAGTCCAAATTCCCAACTTAGTCTGTTTGTGTTCCTTTTCAAATGCTGTGCTTCAAAATTTTAAATGAATTGGTGAGATACAGAAGTAATCTTTTATTAGAACTGATTGAGTAGTATTAAGCTGTTGAAAATATAAGGAATTCTAGGCTGGGCGCAGTGGCTCACGCCTGTAATCCTAGCACTCTGGGAGGCTGAGTCAGGCGGATTGCTCGAGGTCAGGAGTTCGAAACCAGCCTGAGCAAGAGCGAGACCATGTCTCTACTATAATAGAAAGAATTAATTGGCCACCTATATATAATACGAAAAAAATTAGCTGGGCATGGTGGGTGCATGCCTGTGTCCAGCTACTCGGGACGGCTGAGGGTAGCGAAGGATCACTCAGCCGGAGTTTGAGGTTCGCTCGTTGAGCCAAGGCTGACGCACGCGCCACTCACTCTACGCTGGGCAACAAAAGCTGAGATCCTGTCTTGGAAAAAAAAAAAAAAGAAAGAAAACTATACTACGGATCTTCTCATCTTCTCTGTGCCATTTCTTGGTCTAGTAAGCAGAGCAAATGCTACAGACAACCCAACAATACTTCGTCCGGTTCTCCACAGTCATTCGTTGGCTTTCTAGCATTTGTGATCTTCAGTAAACATAACCCTTCATCTACTTTGTCACACACTTTGTTTTGGACAAAGTGGCATAACTCTGTCTCTGAACTTACTTTCCACTTCATTTCACTCAACCGCTATCTCAGGCTTTACCTTTGTGTAATACATTTAATACCCACACACACCTCAACCATCACGTCTCGCTGACGCGCTCCACATCTGGCCACTTTAACAGATTATGCATTGGGGAAGAGGCGGAGGGTGTGCACTTTGCAGCCCCCCTGCTCTCTCTGCTTCACCCCACGCACCACATCCCTTTCCCCCGTTCAAAAAATTAAACAATAAAAAACAACAAAGATATCAAGTAAAAGCTGCATTTGGCTGTAACGTAAACTGATGGTTGTTAGGCGGAGGTTATTTATCTAATATAGGATCGATTGGAAGTAATGGCTACTGCCTTCTGCTCAGATGCATGAAAATGTCAGGTCAGTATCTAAGTTCTTGGCTTTCTCTCTTGCATTCAACGATGACTGCCTAGCTCAGGCTTTACATCATTATTCAAGGCAGAAAGGTGTGTGTGTGTTCTCAGCTGATGTTGTCCATTTTTCTCAAGCCTAAGCACAAGTCTTTCAAGAGCTCCTGAAAATTGTTTAAGTCTCATTTGGCATCAGACACGTTCTGTGCTGATACCTGCTACCACTCTAGCCATACGCGGCAGGGCGGAAAAGTGGCTAAGAATGTTTATCATTTTTAGCATCCTTCACTCCGAGAAACAAGCACATCAGGGGAAAGGTTACGACAATAGATTTGGGATTAGTTAATGTCAACAGCATGTTCCTGCTACAGGTATTCATCTCATGAACACTGTTAACCACCTCTGAAGGGCCCGAACTTAAAGTATCGAGTTAACACTTGTTCGAACTAGTAAATATACTTCTCAAAATAGCTTTCGCTTGCGAAAGAAATATCACTTCATTTGGACGTATCCAATTCTGGATTATTTGAAATTCTCAAGTCATAATTAACTTTAACTCACTGCTCCATCCTCAACTGTGATATTCTGAGAAGTTGAACTGAATAGACTCACGCTGTTGAGAGAAACGTGCATTCTACGACAAGTGGATGTAGTACGTAGGAGCTGTACTCGATCGTTTTCTTTGAGCTTTTAGTGTTCTTCTTAATGCCCCGGATTGAGAGACACTTTACCCGGCATACGCGCTATAAGACACTCTTCTTCTTTAATGCTAAAAAATACTTCTGAGATATAAGTTTACCATGGAGTGAAGTCCTGGGTATTCAAAACTGCCATAGACTGCAGAATTCTGATAACTGTACTCACACCTGTGGTGACACC